AATGTTTACATGTTATGTGCAATTAAACCATGGCAACATCTAATGTTTGTGTAGTATTATGTTCAGCAGACTGTGTTCTTCTATTGTTGTGACTTAGATGACGTTCAGAGCACATTTTATGTCCAATTCATGCAAAACTCCACGTAATCCCAGGGGTTCACATACTTTTTTCTTGCAACTGTATATACACACACACAACATGCTATTTCTGACCTTTATAATGTATGGATCATGAAGTGAAGGTAAGAGCACATCTTGATTGCACAGTACAGTTGGTAGTGGAGTGTTTTTTTGAGACACATTGAAACTGGCTGCACAAGACACACCCCCTTAGGATTCGTTGAATTGCATTCAGAGTCAGTAAACAGTCCTTGATTTTGGTTTTGTGATTTTATTAAGGGATGAACAACTTGGGTGAGATTGAGGGGTATAAGGCATGCCCAAGGAAACTGCAAATTTGAAGACAAACTCCTTAGCAACTATGTGCAGATGAGGACAAAATAGTCTCTCCTTTAAGAGCATTCCAGCTCTGGTATATCTCCTCAGGCCCCACATGAATCCTCCTCTTCACCCAGCTGCAGTGAGGGTATTCCCTGGACAAGGGGACCCAGAAACTGTCAATTTAGCTCAGCAGCTAATGAGAAGCTAGTTGGGTTTCCAACTGACTGCCCTCTCCCCTTATCCGGCCAGGGGGTGTAAGAGTATGCACACTAGAGTGTCATCTCCGTATAGTTCAATGGGTTGGTGGCTGTCTTCAGGCCTTTTGATGGGCTGGCTCCTTCCCTGCTACTCAGAATTGTCCTCCCTTGGAGATGGTGGTACAGTGGGTATCCTCTTCTCCAGCACCTGCCTGTAGTTAGGCCACTTCCCTGGGCCCCAAACTAGGCTCCACACTCCAGCCTATTACTCCATCTTCCACCCTACACTGCTCCCTTCCATCCATGCTTTGCGATACTTAAGGGTTGCCTTGGTCACCATGCCCAGCCTCCTACCAAGGGATTGGCCAAGGTCCCTCATGTATGCAGATTAGAGCTTCTTCCCCTCCTCCATCCCTCCTCCAGAAAGCTCTCAGGTTTCTGGAGAGGTTGGAGGGCTCCAGAAGCTACAACCTTCAGAACTTCCCTTGCCTGTCTTAAGGTGAACTCCTGCCTCACTCACAGGCTGACTCATTCCAGGCTGCTACTCAGCCTCTTTGTAGAAAAATAAAACAACAAACTGCTATCTAACTAACCTGGAGGGTGTTACACACACAAGAGTGATTTATTTAATAAAGAACATCAGAGATTGTGCTTATTTTGTTGGAGCTTTGTGCAATACATGGGCACGCAAGAAAAGTTTTTAGTTGCACATATTTTCGGCAGTATATATACTATAAAAGGGTTGATCGGGTGTCACAAAATATTTTGTTTTCTGCATTGGAGTAGCACTCCATTATATTTCTTGCTATATTTTCTGTCATATTTTAGATAGCTTAAAAGTGTTAGCTGCTGGGAAATTATTCACAATAGTTTAGGGTATGTTGCATTGTAGTGTGGAAAGGAGAATAAATCTCTACTGAAGTAAAACCCATACATTCACCATTCCACTACATTAAATGAAATTCACACAATTGTGATATCATTTTATTCAGCAGATTTTATTGATTTTCTTTGCTATAATTATATAGGGGTACTCAAATTACATTGGGAAAAATAACAGTAAATAACTTTTTTTCTATTTGTTTTACTATTTATTCCCAACAGAAACAAGGAAATGAAATATATACTTTATTTCTACCAAATTAAAGCGCTCTCTGTCCCAAAAACCAACATAAAATACAGTAGGGTAGACTATAAAACCTAAAGGTACAATGCATGCAACCAAGACTTCTGCAAAAATGAGAAAAAAAACAGAACACTCTGGGACTCAAGAGTGTATTAACAGAAAATGGCCCAGGGACATAAGTGGTTAAAGGTGTATTTCACATTGAAGTTAGAAGATATTTAGAAAATACTGGAAACAAAGTCAAGAAATGAAACTCCATTTCAATATGTTTCTTATAAAATTTCCATTTCTTTTAGGTGTATGCAAACTTGCTTTAAAATCCAATGTTCTGCTTTTTTCCTCGTTTAATTTTTTTAAGTGTATTTATTCTCTTGCACAAATAAAACCATGAACTTGATGCCAGAAATTACGAAGAGTAGAAGAGACCTTTCCAAAACTGTTTTAGTACCTTAGTTTAAAAAGAACAAACTGTATTTAGCATCTGTAACTGGAACCATAAAAAATAACACAAATTAAATATTACATTTTTCAGTGTGCTCCCAAATGTAATGATGTGTAGAGAACCTATTAACTGTTTTACAGATTTAATTTGCACAGTGTCTCAAAACTGTATCAGTAAATAGTAAATAATACATGTCTAGATCTAAAAGCATACAGCTTTAAGGGAATCAAGTTACCAGAGGTGACACAGAATATATAACATGAGATCATACATCTATTAATGTTTTATGACAGGCTATAAACACAAACTATGACTTACATGTCCTTTAATTCAATTTTATGATGCATTTATTATCACACAGTCATTGGTGGTTCTCCCGTTAAGACCCTCAATTTGACATAAATATTGAACCAATCTTAAGCAGGCTGTCAATTCTCATCCAGTCTTACCTATGGACTGGAAATATTTAGTGTTACATTATTTATTAAGATAAAAAAAAATAATGAACATATTACTAAATCCAAAATATGCTACTTGTGGGCATTCTCCACTGCAATAAAACATTGTCTAGTATGTATGGGCAAGGCTATAGTTTTAATGCTTTTACATATGTTTATCTCACACAAACTGGCAAGCAGCCATAACTTACGACTGAGAACATCAGTACCAGTCACAGCTGTGCTCACCCACTTAGCATAATATAGCATAATAGTCTGCCCTATACATAAGCCCAGGATTGACCTCTAAAGACTCAAACCCAAAGAAGGCATCAATTATAGACCATTTGGCTGCTGGTAAGGTAAACCCCTCCAATAAAACTGTGACAATAACAAGCTAAGAAGATGGGAGTGGCAATACATCATAAGGGTGCAGTCTCAGGTTAGGCTGATCACCACTTACACCCACCTAACCATTCCCACTTCTGTACCACCCATCTTTAGAGAGGATAGCCAATGAACCTTATGGTTGTTGATGTTTTTGATTATATACTTTTCAGTAGATGTTACTAAGCTCCTATTCAATTATTTTCACACTTCCCTTAGTTATCTAGGCGTGCAGCTGTAGTGGCTAGGGAAGGAAGGAAAGCAAGTACAATATATGGCCCTCCCCTGCTCAAACCAGTCCAGCCTGCATGTCTTTCAACTTTGGTACTTTGCAAAAGTCCCCCTTGCAAGGCAACTTGTTGAGGGATTAGAACATCTTTCCCACATTCAGTCTCCCAAAAAGTATGTGGGGGTTTGTTGGGTGGACTTAAAGGCAATCATAAGGGGACACGTAGATATCCATCCCTTCTCATGGGAATGAGTACTGAGATACATACCACCCCAAATGTTGAAAGGCATGTGGCCAGGTTTAGTTTTTTTTCCTGGCTACCAAGACTGCAGATCTGGATAGGGGTCTGGTTAGAAAATGTACTGTCACTAAAAAAAGAAAACATGGAAAAAAAATTACATGTACATTCTTGTTAATAAAGATGTCTAGTGTTGTAAATCCATCATTAATTATGGTGTCCAGTTATGTAAATCCTTGTCAAACACAACAACATGATGCCTGTCTATGTGTACAAGTCACACTCTTGATGCTAAATGACATATACCAAGCTCTGTGGCAATATGAACACAGTGGTTGGATCTCAAGTGCGATCAGAATCTCTGCAATCAGTTATTTGGTGTGATAACATATTCCCTGTAAAATACTCAAAGGTGACATAATTGTATTTAATCTGAAGCAAGATAGGAAACCCAAAATAATAATTATTTAGTGCAACAATATAGAATAAATATGCATTTTACATAGAAAATGCATTTTCTTCTGATTTTCTAACCTATTGTATACATTAATATGTTAATCTAATCTAGAAAAAGACAGCTACATTCTACCATTTAAATCCATGACTCAATTTAGCCTAGAAGAGTACACATTTAAAGATTTAGACCATTTGTGACAAAACCTTTCAGCACATCACAGAGCTCAGTTATGGAAGATGAGCATTTAAAAGAAAAATGTCTAACTATTGTCTTCCTTGTGACATGCATGAAATTGAATTTACAGTTATGGTGAAGGGTCCCAGAGGCAGATAGTGGGATCATTTGCTCAGTGAGGTCTTTTTAACACAGTGTGTTTGGTTATTTTTAAATGTTTAATTAGTTTAGATTTCAAAAAGCCAGACATCCATGACAGCGCTGAAGCTTGTTTATGCTGTCAGGCTTACTCAGCAAAAGAAGTGCAGATAGCTATAATAAGTATGTAATGAAGTGCAGTCTGCAATTTATAGCTATTGATTTTGAGTTTGCTTCTGCCAAACTTTGTAAACGCTAAGGTAGACTGCTTACACTGGATTACTGCACTTTGTGCCTTGATCTCTGTTTGGACCCTTCCACACACCTTGAATTGTGCCATAATAACTTTATCTTTGCATCTCACAGTGTTACCACAGCCCATTCATGCTTAATGGTCCCCAACACAGCAGTAATCACTTCTTCTCTATTTTATCCTGCACTACTCTACAATCCATATCCTGCATAGTGCTGCACTCTGTAGTTGTGTTGTGATGCTATTCAAAATGAACTGTGCAACAGTGCATAGTGGTATATCATACACTTAGACAATTTGCACCTGCATTGCACCTGAACCACTGAACAAACTCTCACCAGAAGGGGCTGAAATTGTGCTTTCAAAATCAGCCTGAGCATTTGTGAACCCAGGCTTATGTGTCACTTGTGACCTGTGATTTGCCATCCCTCTGAGCTAGTGGCATAGAGATATACACTGTATTGCCAAATGTATTGGGACACTCTTCCAAATCATTGATTCAGATGTTCTAATCACTCCATGGCCACAGGTGTATAAAATCAAGTACCTAGGCATGTAGACTGCTTCTACAAACATTTGTGAAAGAATGGGTTGCTCTCAGGAGCTCAGTGAATTCAAGTGTGGTAGCGTGATAGGTTGCCACCTGTGCAATAAGTCCATCTGTGAAATTTCCTTGCTACTAAATATTCCACGGTCAACTGTTAGTGGTATTATAACAAAGCTGAAGCAACTGGGAACAAGAGAAACTCAGCCATGAAGTGGTAGGTTACGTAACTTGAAAAAGCAGGGTCAGCATATGCTAAAGCGCACTGTGCGCAGAAGTTGCCAACTGTCTGTAGAGTCAATAAAGGCTAAAGGCCTCCAAAATACACGTGGCCTTCAGATTAGCACAACAACAGTGCATAGAGAGCTTAATGGCATGGGTTTCTACAGTGAGCAGCTGCATCCAAGCCTTACAACACCAAGTGCAATGCAAAGCACGCCACCACTGGACTCAAAGCCACAGATTAGTGGAGAGTTGTTCTCTGCAGTGATGAATCATGCTTCTCTGTCTGGCAATCTGATGGATGTGTCTGGGTTTGTCAGTTGCCAGGAGAACAATACTTGCCTGACTGCATTGTGCCAAGTGTAAGTTTGGTGGAGGGGGGATTACGGTGTGGGGTTGTTTTTCAGGGGTTGGGTTTGGTCCCTTAGTCCCAGTGAAGGGAAATATTAGTGCGTCAGCATAACAAGACATTTTGGACCATTTCGTGCTCCCAGATTTGTAGGAATAGTTTGGGGATGGAGTAAATCGGTTTGAAATTAAGGAAAAACCCATCTCAGGCAGCTGTTTCCAGAGCAGATTTCCAGTTGGAAAATTTCCTTTTACCTCATGTGAGGTAACATTGTTTGAATTTTGTATCATTTTGTGACCAGGTCCCAGCAGGAACACATAGAGCAATATCAATTTAAAGGGGTATTAATCATTACCAACTCTATAAAAACATTTTGGATTTAGGTATATTCACATATTACCCACACATTCTTTAAATTAAAGTGACACTGCCAGTTAAATTAAAGTTGAAATAAATTAAGTGCCTGTCAAGAAGAAGATAATTACCTCTCCTGTTGGCTGCACCTCTGAATATTGCTCCAGTGAAGAGGAGTCTTCCTCCAAAGGTTTTGCAGTAACCAACACTTCATTCGGTATTCAGTATTCATCTCCTGTATCCTACCTCCAGGCTGACTCCTACATCACTGTCCTACAAATTCCTACAAAGGTCAACAAGAAGAACTACCAAGTGCTGCAGAAAACATAAAACATCAACACTTCCTAAAGTGTCGGTTTTTGCATAAATGTTGAGGGAAGATTCCTCTTTAAGTGAGTAGTGTTTGTCTTTCCAGGCAGCAAGAGATATTTTTGCTACCTTTTTACAGGTACTTCTTTATTTCAGCTTTATTTAAAAGAATGTATAGTTACTTGTTTGACTTCAATTTTAAAGGGCACCTCAATCCTTATCTAAATACTTCCAAAACCCCATTTGAGTACTGTTTGTGATACTTTTTTGTACTGAGCAGATATTTTTTTGATCAGTTAAAATTTCAGGATATAAAAATGTAACTGTGTCCTTCCGTGTTACCCAGTGTGTAAATTAAAATACTGAAATATATATCTAACTCTATTTTAAATGTCTTGTGATAAAGCAAATATAGAGTGAACAAATCCTATATAATTGTGTTAATGAAGGTGCTGTTAACATAAATGTGAATAAATAAAATAGAAAAATGTGGCGCTCCTCTTTCTGAATGTCTTAAAACTCCAATGTGAATATATAATGATGCCAAATTAAATATATATACAAATACATAAATCAAAATAAACAAATGAGCACATAAATACATTCACAATTCTCCTATGACTGTCCCAAAGTTCATAGTGAATGATCATCTAGCAATATGTTTTCTTCATTCCAATAAAACACCTCTCAGATACCTATCACCTTACACCATATGCACTCATAGACCTAACAGATAATCAGGTCTAGCTGTGCTTTTTCCCACTTTTAGGGACAGTTAATTCCCATATAACTCTCTATCTCCTTCCCGGTAAGATGAATGGATCACTGGCTCCACTCCACTGAATGTGCAAGCATGGCTCTTTAAGTTATCTTTATCTTTATCTCCTCTGTATCCAGTACACTCAAATGTATATAAAAAATATCTCTCATAGTGTAGCAAGTCTGGAAATAAACATTTATTCTTTAAAATTTAATAAAAAAGAAGACAAACACTGTACTTAGTGCTGGATACATAAACTCAAAAAACATATAAAATAATAAAGTGCAGTGCTATAGACACATAATATGAATAATGTGAATATTACCATGAATTATATACAGTGGGGAAAATACAATGCTGACTAAGACCCTAAGAAAACCATCTCTACAGTCAAGCACAGAGGTGGAAACATTATGCTTTGGGGCTGTTTCTCTGCTAAATGTACAGGCCAGCTTTGCCACATTGAGGGGCCAATGGACGGGGCCTTGCATTGTAAAATCTTGGATGAGAACCTTCCTCCCTCAGCCAGAAAGAAAAAATAAGAGTGGAATACTCATCAAATTAGGGGCTTACGAAAAAAAAAGAAAGCTAAAACAATTACAGACATATTATCGCAAATTAAACTCCTGGAATCACAACACAAACAAAACCTAGACCAAATGATTTTATCTCAGCTACGCTCTCTACGAGAGAAACTAAGGCTTCAACTCATGGAGCAATATGACTTTATGATAAAAAAATGTAAATTTATATCATACACGCAAAGCAAATAAAGCAGGACCACATTTAGCAAAACAATTTAAGTGATATCAATCCAAATCGAAAATTGCATATCTAAAAGACCCATCTAAGGGAAAACTTATAAATCCACTAGATATAGCCAATGCTTTTAGTAGATACTATGCAACACTATATAACATAAAAAACTCTCAAGAATGTACACCTCCTACTGATAACCAAATCAATACTTTTCTGGAATCACTCCAACTTCCTAAGATCTCCACAGAACAACTAGACTCCTTATCACAACCCTTCACCACCTCTGAAATAATAAAATAATTCATGATCTCCCTTCTCACAAATCACCAGGACGTGATGGTTATACCAATGAATATTACAAAACCTTTGCTCCAACCCTTATCCAATATCTACATAAATTTGTTAATAAATTCACAACATCTGAAAAATATCCCAAAAAAAACATTAGAAGCCCTTATTATCACACTGCCAAAACCAGGCAAACCTCCCACATCACCAGCCAACTTTAGACCTATATCACTTTTAAATACAGATACAAAAATGTATGCCAAACTACTAGCCAACCAACTTCAATCATTATTACCAAAACTAATTAATTCAGATCAGGTTGGATTTATCAAACGACCTCACGCACCAGACGGCACACGTAGATTCATAAATTTAGCTCAATGGGCAAATTACACACAAACACCATCTCTGCTCATCTCATTAGATGCAGAAAAGGCGTTTGACAGAATCTACTGGCCATACCTACAACTGGTACTAGAAAAATTTGGAATAACAGGTTCGTTCAAGAAAGCAATTATGGCTTTATATACATGCCCTAGTGCTAGAGTATGGTCATCTGGTATACTCTCTGACCCATTCCAGATATCGAATGGTACAAGGCAAGGGTGTCCCTTATCACCTTTAATCGTTGCTTTATGCATAGAACCATTGGCAGAAGTGATACGTATACAACCTGACATTGGAGGTATCAAAATAGGTCACGAAACACATAAAATAGGACTATACGCTGATGACATCATAATTGCTATGACCAACCCCATCATCTCAATAATAGCATTGCAAAATGTTATCTCGCAATTTAGCTTATTATCCATGTACAAAGTAAATGAAGCCAAATCCTCCATGTTGCCGATAGCAATCCCACATAAACTACATAAACAAATTTCATCAATCTCCCCCTTCTCATGGGCCACATCATCACAAATTAAATACCTAGGAATAAAATTAACGTCTCCCCACTCGAACACATTTAAGATCAACTTTTCCAATCTACTCATTAAAATAACAGAACTATGTAAAGAGTTCTCCAACACCACTATTTCATGGGTTGGGCGAATTGCTATTGTAAAAATGTTTATCTTACCACACATTTTATATTTCTTTTGAGCCATCCCAATACCATTACTATCTTCATCCATACAAAAACTACAATCACTATTAAACACTTACAACAAATTGACACTATACACTTCTCGATCAAATTTAGGTATGGGAGCCCTCAATCTACAATTATACCATAAAGCAATAGTGTTGGATCAAACACAGCATTGTAGGACACCTCAAATAGACAAACGATGGGTACAGATAGAACAGTCCCTTATCCATAGTGACACTCAAGCCACATTGGGAGCTCTTACTCTCACCCATAGAGCCCCAAGATACTGCCTAGACACAATTAATGTGACTCTCCACACCTGGGTGTCTATTCTACGAACCTCAAAGGGAAATCACCCTACAATTAATGGCTTCATTCCTCTACTCTCCCTATCATCGATGACACCTGATCTAGAACTTAAATCCTGGTCAAAAGCAGGCCTTTTTCAAATATCTAAGAATTCGTCATGCATTACGCAACCTGGAATACCAGGAAGATTCTCTCCTCAGATCTTTGACCAACTTTTATGAAAGAATAGATTCTCACAAACGAGGTATCTCATTCATATATAATATCCTTCTTCAACATCGTCACCAAGGAAAATTACCAACGATGCATAAATGGGAAGGAGACTGTCACGGTGTAAGGTCAGGTTCAGAGACCAGTTGCTATAGCAGTAAAAGGCTTACCTGGAACCAGCAGGATAGGTACACCAGCGGATCCCCCTGGGAATGATGCAGGCTCACCTGAGGTGCGGGGTCTAAGTATTAACCGGTATTCACCAGAGCTCCTAATGGTGGAGATGGATTGGGCTGCGTGTTAATACCAGGTCGCAGATCTCAGGATCACCCCACCAGGGAATGAGCAGACTGGGAACCAATAGCGAATCAACAGGTTAGGGATCAGATGAAAGCAGAGTCGGTCACAAGCCAAGGGTCGGTCACAAATGGTAGCAGATCAATCGTGGTCAGGAACAAGCCAAAGGTCAGTAGCGGAGGTGTAGACGGCAGCAGGAACAGTAGCAAGATATTGGCTGGAAAGGCACAATAATCTGGCAAGGTGGAAGTCCAAGGACATGGCTTATATAGGAAGTTCATGGGAGGAGCAAGGAGTTCAAGGTTCAAGAGCAAACAAGGCACAAGGCAGGATTATCCAATAGATGAGGCAAAGTGTTGTCCAGCATCCCAGGTAGCTCAGTGAGTAGAGTTACTGCCTGACACAGTAGAAGTCCCAGGTTCAAGTCCAGGCC